TTTATTTAACAGATTTATTCATGACAATCATATTTTAGTCACCAAACATATTCAGAAATTAAAAGATAATACAATTAAATTCAAGCTAAATACTGCAAAAACAAATTACAAGCTACAAAATTTCAACTTAATCTGTAAATGTGTTGCTTCTCTTGATTTTTAATTTTGTATTTAATATTTTTCTATAACACAAAAATTTGTCTGTAGTAGTTTTTACACCGTTAGCATGAGTTATTTTGTTAGATGAGCTCCAGATTTGGCTAATCTATTGTATATGCACAAATATAATATTGTAGAGCTTCCTATTAAAATATGAATGTAAAAGAGAGATTAGTGAGGGGTGTACTTATATATGCTGAGCACTGTATATTGTTCACCCAGAGTGTTTACATGGTCACACAGCAGTAACACAACAAGCATTGAGTTTGGGCTAGCTTCTGCAGATGGACATTGCTGTACACTGCCCTTAATGAGTGAGTGGGGGAGTGTCTGTTGTCTCTCAGGTGTGAATTATTCATGACCATTGTCACTCACACATACAGCTGAGATCAGCCAAAACAACCTTAACAAAATGTAGATCATTGTAATGTTTTCTCTGAATGAGAGAACAGAATAATTTTCACATAATTGTGCAGTAAATATTCTAGTCTACAAGACTGCTTACTCTAAAGTCTTGTTCAGGCACATTCAGTCTGGTTTTTTCCTTCTAAAACCTACTAACCACACAATATTTGTTTCTAAAAAACACAAGCATGTACATCAATATCTTTCACATATTATCGTAGCTCAGTTTGAGCTGAATACTAATAAAACACATGTTGGCCAGTTCTGTGTAATAAGTAGCTGAATCAGCACAGATGTCAGGGCATGTCAAAACATCTCAGGGACCCCAAAATCACCTCAGACCCCTGAGGGTTAACAACAGGTATAGTATGAGCAGTGTGAAACACAATTACTGATAAACCATAATTCCAGTTATCTGGGGTTTAGTATCACCCAGGGTTAACATGTTCAAGCATGAAGAGCTCTAATATGAAACTGTCTGACTGTAGTTATTGTAGAGTGGAGAATCATTTACCTCAGTGTCTCCAGTTTACAGTGTTGACTCTTCAGTCCATCAGAGAGCTTCTTCACTCCTGAATCCTGCAGCTCATTGTTACTCAGGTCCAGCTCTCTCAGCACACAGTTTGAGGATTGTAGAGCTGAAGACACACTCTCACAAGAATCGGCAGTGAGTTTACATGTCATCAATCTGAGAAAGAGCACACATTACTAAAAACACACTGTTAATGTGATCTGTCTGATGTAACAAAACAATCAATCAATCAGTCAATCAATCAATCAATCAATCAATCAGGTGTTTAAACTCAGACCTCAGTGTGTCCAGTTTACAGTGTTGATTCTTCAGTCCATCAGAGAGCTTCTTCACTCCTGAATCCTGCAGGTGATTGTTACTCAGGTCCAGCTCTGTCAGCACACAGTTTGAGGATTGTAGAGCTGAAGACAAACTCTCACAACACTGAACAGTGAGATTACAGCTCTGTAGCCTGTGTAGAGGACAACACAATATGTATGTGTTAATCTGGTGTGTTTGATAGTCTGAAGCACATCTGACTGTAGTGACTGGTTTAACTTCACTAATTAGTGAGCACATCTGCTGATTTTAGCTTTAAATAGTATTTATGTCTATTGTTACGGCTCAGTATCTGTGCCTGTGTTTGTTTGTATTTTTTTTCTCTCCCCCTCCTTCTCTACCTATCATTTTCTTTTGGTCCGCCCAGCTCATCTACCTATTGGCTAAGCTAGATGCCAGTCATCATTACCATTTGCGATGACATCATCATTGTCCAATCACAAGCAGACTTCCCCACTTTAAAAGGAAGCCGGTGCAGTTGAAAGCTAGCTTAACCCAAGCAGAAGTAAGGAAGGTAATAAGGACAACAAAAAGAAATTATTGGAGAAAATTCTGTGATGAAATTGGCGCAGATATAGATATAAATGATATGTGGAATATGATCAAGAAAATGGGTGGAAAGCAAATAAATAAAAATATTCCAGCTTTAATAAAAGAAGGTAAATACATAACGACCAATGAAGAAAAAGCAGAGGAGTCGGTAGAAGTCTTTGTTAAGGTTCACAGTAATAATAATTTATCAGACAGTATGAGAATAAAAAGGGAACAAATCATAAAAGAAAATCCAAATGTATAAACACAAAAAGCACCAACTGGGGGCATATTGGATGCAGATTTTACTATACATGAACTGAAGCAGGTAATACAGAATTTGAAATGTACATCTCCAGTTAAAGATGAAATTGGTTATGAAATGATAAAACATCTTTCAGATACATCACTAATTAATTCTAAAGTTCTTCAATAAAATATGGGAAGTGGGAAAACTTCCTATGTCTTGGAAACATGGAGTGATAATTCTAATTGGAAAACCGGGCAAAGAGCATACAGTAGCAACAAATTCTAGACCAATTGCGTTGACATCTAATTTATGTAAGATAATGCAAAAGTTAATAGTATCTCTGCTAAATTATGTGTTAGAAAGTAAAAATCTTTTAAATCATTATCATAGTGGCTTTAGAAAAGGACGAAGTACAATGGATCCAGTTTTATGTTTAGAATCAGAAATTAGGAAAGCAATGATGAATAAGGAGGTGTTAATAGGGATATTCTTCGATATCGAAAAGGCATATGATATGCTTTGGAAAGAGGGAGTATTAATTAAATTAGACAATATGGCAATCAAAGGGAAAATGTACAATTGGATTATGGACTTTTTGTTTAACAGAACTATTCAGGTAAGGGTAGGAACAAGTTATTCTAGCATACATTCTATAGATAATGGGACCCCACAGGGTAGTGTATGCAGCCCGGTGTTATTTAACATTATGATTAATGATATATTTGAAACGGTTGGACAAGAAATAGGCAAGTCTTTATATGCAGATGACAGTGCTTTGTGGAAAAGGGGAAGAAACGTAGAATATGTTAAAGAAAAAATGCAAAAAGCAGTTAATGAAGTGGAAAATTGGGTAAATAAATGGAGCTTTAAATTGTCTGTAGAAAAAACCAAAGTGATGTGTTTCTCAAAAAAAAGGAAATCCCCAAATATCATAATAAATCTATATGGGCAAGAGTTAGAGCAGGTTCAAGAAATCAGGTTCCTAGGAGTATGGATAGACTCAAAACTTATATTTACAACCCATATAAAGAAAATACAAGATAAATGCAAAAAACTATTAAATATTCTAAGATGTTTGGCTGGAGTAGAGTGGGGTGCTACCAGACATGCATTAAAAAGAATATACTGTGCTATGATAAGGCCAATTTTAGATTATGGCAGTATAGTATATTGCTCAGCGTCCAAATCTCAGCTACAAAAAATTAGTGTTATTCAATCTCAAGCATTAAGAATAGGAAGTGGAGCATTTCGTACATCTCCCATTCCAGCGATTCAGGTGGAAATGGCAGAACAACCAATAAAGTATAGAACACTTAAGCTGAAAATGGCATATTGGAGCACTGTAAGAGGGCATGCAGATACACTTCCAGTAAAAGCAATAATCAAAAACTGTTGGGAACATGAATATAGCAAGAACAGGAGTTTCGGGTGGAATACAGAATTGGAGGACAGGAAATTAGGATTGGATCAAATAAAAATAGGACCTACATTAACTATACCAGATACACCTCCCTGGATGTTTCAAGTGCCACAAGTTGATTTACAGATACACAGTATAATTAAGGATAAGAACAGGAGTCTGTCTAAAGATAATCTAGTAAGACGATATCTAAAACAAAAATATTTAAATTATACACAGATATATACAGATGGGTCTAAAAATCCAGACAATGGTTATACAGCAGCAGCTCTATATATTCCTAACAATAAACAAAATGTTTCAATGAGGTTAAGTAATCATATATCAGTTTTCTCAACAGAATTAATGGCAATATCAATGGCAATGCAGTGGGTGGAAAAAAATCAGCCATTAAGAGTAGTGGTGTGCTCTGATTCATACTCAGCACTACATTGTTTGAATATGGGGACCTCAGAAACACGACAGGATCTACTAAATGAAATATTTCAAAACATAAATAAAATAAACCAAATAGGAGTAACAGTAACATTTTTATGGATCCCTGCTCATGTAGGAGTAGAAGGAAATGAAATAGTAGACAAGATGGCGAAAACAGCATTGTGGAAAGATGAGGTGGATATTGAGATTCCGCTATCTAAAACAGAAATAAAACATATTATAAATATATCAGTAAAGAATCTTTGGCAAGAGGACTGGGATTCAGAATCAAATGGAAGACATCTGTATAATATACAAAATAAAGTGGGGAAAGAAAGGAAAGTATATGGGAACAGGAAGGAAGACACAGTCATATCCAGACTTCATATAGGTCATTCCAATTTTAACAGTTCACTATTCAAGATAGGGAAAAGGGAAACAGAATGCTGCAAACATTGTGGACAAATCGAAACCATAGAACATGTATTAATCAAGTGTACAAAATATAGAAGAGAGAGGGACCAGTTTAAAATAAAACTAAGAGATTTGGACATGACTGACATTACAATCACTAACATTTTTAAAAATGCTCAGAAAGAAACTAAGGTATATGATTATCTGCTAAAATTCTTGAGGAGTACAGGATTGTTTTACAGGATTTAATCGGAAAGAATTATAATTTGGTTATTTAGTAAGTTTTATTTAGATTTTTATTATGAATATTGTTTATTATTATTTAATTACTATGTAAGGGTTTAAAATAGGTTTTTGGTTTGTGTTTTATCGATTAAAAAAAAAGAAGTTTTATTTATTTATTTTTATTTATTTATTTTTTAGAGAATAAGTAGTAATCCTTCCACTCATTGAAGTCTCACACTCCAACACAGTAGGTGGCGGTAATGCACCTCAAGCTGGTTTGCTACCCGCCATTAAACGAAGAAGAAGAAGAAGGAAGAAGATATATATATTAAGCTGGATTTTTCTGTAGGGTCGTGACGCAGTTGTGCTGAAATCTGTAATCAGAGTCGCTGTACAGTGAATTAAAGTTCTCCAATGAACATGTTTGCTCAATCTTAGCATTAAAACATCATTTACTGCGCCACTCGACGAGGATCGCTTGATTTTCGATCGTTTGTTCACGATCGCGTGCAAGTGCGACCAAGGCGTTCCCGAGTTAATATTTTACTGAACAGCGCCCCCTGGCCACAGTTTTCGGCACATCACCGCCCTTCATAAACGAAAGTGAAAGGGCTTCATTGTTGTGTCGCCATTTTAAACAGAGAGAATCCAGCATTTACAACGCAGAACAACTTTAAATCTTTAATGTCTTCACAAAACATGTAAGGTTATATATATATACATAATTTTATCATAATCAAATGAATAATGACTGTACGGTTTTTCTTTTGTTTACTCGTGTCAAACTTCGGATTTCGTTTCACAGCTGCTGATCTATTCCTGCTGAAATCAGCTCAATGATGAAGGCTGATCAATGACTGCACATCTGTGATTGTTTCTCAGTGTCTGCTATAGTTTCTACTGGACATCACACTCTACACATCCATCATGGAGGACACACACACTTCTGGAGATCAGGATTTGTCTACAGGACACAGGTATTAGACCAACACATTACATTTACACATTATTACATTTATTACTTCGATTGTAACAAAAAAGATACTTGATAGTTATTTGTGGGTAACTTTGTCTATGATAACGTAACGCAAGAGTTTTTGTACTAATATAAATTAAATGATATAAAATGCAGCGCTGAACTTTAATCTGAACTGTTTTAGATCATATAAGAGGAGGAGAGCAGAAGCAGAGCCCAGCTGTGTGTCTCTGAGGAGTGACGCGTCTAATGAGCACCCAAGAACTAATTTTAGGAGTGAACACACACCACCTGCTGTCCTCAGGTAGATCATCTCTATTAGATCTGCAACTAGTGATTATACTCATAATAAATGAGTCAAGTGATTTTTTTTCATTTATTTGAGATTAAAAGGTGAGATGTTGTATCTGAGCTCTGCAGGATAGTGCCTCTCCAGGGTTGAAGATCTCCTGCCATAAAGGGCTTTTCCTGCACACTTTCCCCTGCTGTTTCTGTGCTGTACTGATCAGCCATTCCTCTGATCTGAGTCTGTTTTCACTGAAGCGCAGTCATCATCATGTTGTGTTGGCCTCATAGATGCTGCTGATCAACACATTTGGTTTCTAGAATTGATATTTCTCGAGTTCTCCTGCTCATTCAGTCATGATAGATGATGGTAAATGAACTTGTCTTGCTGTCCTCAAAGTCTGGACTGGAGCTCTGCAGACAAACCCCCGATGAGTGACCTTCTGAAGACTGAGTGATGAGGAGGAGGATAAGGGGAGCTGCTGGAGGCGGGAATGACAGTCAGCTGACACAGTGCAGTTCATACTGCTGCTTATATAGTCATGTGATGATGATTGACACGCCTGCATGATTAAGCTCCTCCCACACCACTTTACATAAATAAACATGATCACTCCATAAACAATTTAAATAATAACCTTTTATATTAAATCTTGAATTTAAAATGCATTTAGCGGTTTTATATACACTATTATTTTTACGATGAGCTTATAAATTGTTATAAATTGTTATAAACTGTTACAAAACAAAGTCACACTTTATTTGTGCCTCAGATTCACTGTCAAAAATAAATAAGCACTAAATCTAAATGCATGTATATAAAATAAAGATGTCACTCTGTAAAAAGGTATTAATTTTAATTTAACAGCCGAAATGCAGAACAGACTTTGATTTTAACTTACACTGGGAAAAATGCTTTAGAAAAAGCCACAATTAAAAAAGCAAACCAGTTTAAAGCAGGAAAAATTTTTTTCATTATTAAAAAAACATAACAATGAAAACAAAACTTTCTTATATTATAATGAATTGAAATTATATGTTGTCGATATTTTTTTTCAGTTTTAATGCATTAATGCAGGCAATTTAAAGCTGGACCGACTGACGCAATAGACATGATGTATGTCGCGTTTGTTTCATTTATTATGCACACGAAAACTTACTTGTAAACCAAATATGTTGCCGGATTCTTTCATGGGCATGAGAGATAAAGTGCTTATGAAGTGCTTCGGCGGCCTCTGGTCATTAACCGATGCAGAGCCGACGTTTGATGAGCTGGAACAATAGAACACACGACCGAATGAACATGCGTATGTTTGGCTGACCATATATAGATGTTAGAATTAAAGGGGCCGACGTGTTGACCTTCAGCCGACATCGGCCCAATATATGTGAGCTGTCTGGGGATATTATATTTACTCTCTGTTAGTTGTGTTTTTAATCTGTCTGAATATTTAACACACACAGTCAGCAAGATTGTGTACAGTCATCATGAAAAGTATCATGAATTGCTGTTTAAACAGTGTTTTAATGATGAAATGTTGAGTAAATCTGCTGTGTTGACTCCAGTGTGTGCAGCGCTGAACTTTAATCTTCTCTGTTTTAGTTCAGTTCATCAGAAGAGAGCAGAAGCAGAGCCCAGCTGTGTGTCTATGAAGAGTGACTGGTCTATGGATCGAAAAATATATTTTAAGAGTGGAAACACAGGACCTGCTGTCAGGTAGATCATCTCTTTAATATCTGCAACTGATGAGTATTTTCATAATAAATGAATCAGGTAATTAGTGTTGTGGATCTGTTGGGTTTCAGATGTTAGATGTTGTATCTGAGCTCTGCAGGATAGTGCTTGAAGATCTCCGCTTTACACTTCAGGCCACAATTGATGGTGTTAACAAACCAATCAGCGCTTTATTAATAGTTAGTGAGGTAGAAGGAGGGTTTAGGTTTCAGGTAGGGTTAGGAATCCACAATAAGATCATACTGTATGACTACTAATGAGCAGTTCATATGTTCACATTCCACAGATAATGAGCCGGTAGTTAATAGTATGAATTGTGAGCTAAACTAAAGTGTTCCCGATCTCCTGCCATTAAGGGCTTTTCCTGCACACTTTCCCCTGCTGTTTCTGTGCTGTACTGATCAGCCATTCCTCTGATCTGAGTCTGTTTTCACTGAAGCGCAGTCATCATCATGTTGTGTTGGCCTCATAGATGCTGCTGATCAACACATTTGGTTTCTAGAATTGATATTTCTCGAGTTCTCCTGCTCATTCAGTCATGATAGATGATGGTAAATGAACTTGTCTTGCTGTCCTCAAAGTCTGGACTGGAGCTCTGCAGACAAACCCCCAATGAGTGACCTTCTGAAGACTGAGTGATGAGGAGGAGGATAAGGGGAGCTGCTGGAGGCGGGAATGACAGTCAGCTGACACAGTGCAGTTTATACTGCTGCTTATATAGTCATGTGATGATGATTGACACGCCTGCATGATTAAGCTCCTCCCACCCCTACACTGTCAGCTTCATTCCGTGATTCTGATGATGAGTTGATTCAGCCCTGATCTACTCTAATAGTGCTGAGTTTCTCTTATGTCTTTGTTCTAGAAGTGCTCATTGATCTGTGTTTGCTGATATTTATCTCTGTCTAATCTTTTAACTCATTTAACACATCCAGACAGTTTCTGTTCAGATATAAAGGAAATGAATGTATGAAGTGCTGCTTCAGGAGTTTATTTAAATAAAGAATGAGTAATATCTGCTGTGTTGAGTCCAGTGTGTGCAGCGCTGAACTTTAATCTCCTCTGTTTCAGCTCACAGAAGAGGAGGAGAGCAGAAGCAGAGCCCAGCTGTGTGTCTCTGAAGAGTGACCGGTCTATGGGTCACCCAGAAAACAATTTTAGGAGTGAACACACACCACCTGCTCTCAGGTGGACCATCTCTATTAGGTTTGCAACTAATGATTAATCCCATAATAAATGAGTCATGTGATTTTTTTTTCCATTTGAGATTAAAAGGTTAGATGTTGAATCTGAGCTCTGCATGTGGATCCTCACACACGTAATACACAATTATGCAGTGCGTTAACTTTAAATTAGCTCAAAGGGAATATAACAGAATTTAAATCGGCTTCAAAAGAATCAACTCTTTCGAACTGAACAAACAAATCATCCAGCGCTCGATTGAACAGACAGGGCTTATTTCTATTCGAAATAAAGTTAAAACACTTTAATATTTAAGCAGGGTAACAAGATCTAGGTGTAAGGTAATAGATTCCTAAGTATACACAGGCCACTTTCCTTTCAATACAAAAGAGACGTTATTGACTACAAACAACACTAACACACACACACACACACATTCATACCGGTTGCAGACAAGGAGTAGAAGTAAAAAAGAGTTCAGGAGAGATGTGATGTAAAACCTAACCAAGTGAACCAAATAATAAATTCAACCTATACTGTTTTTTAGACAGGGTTATCATTTAACATGATTAGCAGATCATACACCAGTTCAGCAATTGATCTGGAGATATATTTGCGTTCCTTAATGCTGTGGTGAAACCCCTCTGTGGAGCTGGATTCCCTCGTGAGTTCACTGGTGGTTGGTTTGCCGTTGAAGTGACATATCTGAGACTGCTGATGAAGTGAAGTCCCGTAGACTATGTTAGAGACTGCGAAAACTGTAGTCGTTGACTGGTTTCGCGATGCAACTTAACTAGACTCTCGACAGAAAGAAAAGAAAGAAGAGTAAACGGAAGATGGGGAGTTGAAGGCTAATCTCATCCCATCTTAATGTCGAGGTTCGGCTGGGATCAACCTACGTTAAAAGATCGATCAGTGAATTATCAGCTTATTTCAAGGAATCAGATTTTGAAGACTTGAATCACTTGACTTGACTCAATTGAGTCAGACTGAATCAGATTAAACGTTTCACACTTGATCTACCATTTGTGCAGCAAATGGAAGGCATTATATTTTACCAATTTTATTTATATTATTTCTGTGGCCAATAATAACTTAACATAGTATTTGGTTAACTTTTAGCAAGGTAACAAGGTCTACAGCTCGAGGCAATGACTGAGGGTGCTTTCACACCTGTGAATTGATTTATTTGTTCCAAAACAGGAATTAAAATAGTTAAAGTGTTGCTCTTTGCTCTTGGAGCAGTTCACTTTCACACTGCAAAGTTTCTAAACGGACCAAAAGAGCTAAAACAAGTCATGTGTGAGTAAACTCTCCTCACATTGGTTTCACGGTTTATTTAGCAGAGTCCGGCTCAGCTGTCAGGGAGGTGGTGGTTTGGTGGTGTTTGACAGGGTGCGCGCAATGTGTTTAAAGAACAAGTTATTGCGCGACGTATTTGAATCTCGGGAGGGAGACGGGCGATTACCGGGAGATATCACTTGTTTGTGGGCATCCGGTAGTCTATGTGCATTTGCGGGAGACTCCCGAAGCTTCCGGGAGACTTGGGATGTCTGGAATGACCTCCCGCCCTGCTCATAGTTCTCTCTTCATATAGCTGTATCGTCACCCTGGAATTATAAGGTTCTCTTTGCATTGTGAATGATTTTGAGATATTGAGCTTTAAAATTTTTGCATTCCATAGCAAACAGTATGTGTGTAACATTTGTTTTTGTTTTTAATAATAAGTCTTAAAATGTAAGTAACTTACAAAAAAACATCCCATAATGTAAAGAAGTTGTCATTAAATAAGAATATGTCGATAGCGCAATTTTAACAAAAATGTCAGCTAGAACCTTATAATTCTAAGGTGGCAGTATGCCCATGACAAATCCATTAAATACTGTAATATAGCCAGGCTTAGATCGTATCGCTTTCTCACTACAATCGATCCACTCCAGAGTTCGTTTCAATCAAGTCTAGACTATCTCATTCAGGGGATCTCGGAGTTATTGTTTTGGCTTAGATCCAAATGCGATTGCTGGATTAACATATGCCAAACGAACCACGCTAACTGGGCAAACGAGACCGGTTCCCAAACAAAAGTCTAGGTGTGAAAGCACCTTAAGAAGCACATAAACATGAACACAGTTCATACAAAATGAGAACAAAGATTTGAGCTACACTACCATGCATGAAACTAACTACGTAATAAGTAAACAACACACAAACGCACATACACACACACACACACACATTCACACGGAGGCAGTTCAGAGGATGTAAAATGAGTTGTTGACCATCCCAAATTATTTTCTAATACTTATTACTAAGTCTTAGAATAACACCTGAGAAACCACAAAAGCAGATATTCAGCTTAATTCTAACTGCTTAAGATCAATCTGCCCCAGACCAGCAAGAGACAATGTTTATTTGTTACTTGCGCTTTTGCTGAAGTCAAGAGTTTCCCTTGCCTGGCTGACCTCTGGGAAACACGGCGCTCCTGATTGATTGGTGACTCACTTCAGTAGCCGCATTTCCACTGTCGGGCCAGTGCGAGCCAGGGCTTTTATCGAGCCAGGCCGGGCCAATCGCCCTGGAGGTTGAGCAGTGAGGCCAAAATCATGTCACGTTTCCATTGTTGGGCTTGTAGCTTGCAGTGCGTCACGCAAACTTGTGAATTTTACCACATCATATAAAAACATCAACACTTGTTTGTGGAAACAGAACACATTTTGTATTTGCAGTTTTGCCCGATGCGTCTGTAAAGTGGCGCTGCAGGACTGATGAAAGACAAGAAAAGAAGGTCGTTTCTGCTTTTACGCACCCCAATAATGCTCTGTTTGCAGGATTTGACGCACCCCACATATCTGCTGTGTTGAGTCCAGTGTGTGCAGCGCTGAACTTTAATCTCCTCTGTTTCAGCTCACAGAAGAGGAGGAGAGCAGAAGCAGAGCCCAGCTGTGTGTCTCTGAAGAGTGACTGGTCTATGGATCACCCAAGAACTGATTTTAGGAGTGAACACACACCACCTGTTGTTGTCCTCAGGTAGATCATCCGCACACACACATGACTATACAGCAGCATTTATATGATCATGTGTTTTCTAGAAGAGATCAGACATTATTAGACTTTATTCTCTCAGTCCACTGAAGACATTCTCCTCAACACAAGAGACTTTTACACTCAGTGTCAGCTCATGCTCATTTGATCAACAGTAGAGGATTATTAGAGTGTTAGTTCAGCGCTGCTTTCACACAATCATCACTGTTAAAGCTCTGCAGAAATACAGACGAGTCAGTAGAGGAAGGACACTTGTGTTATGACATGAGTTCTGGACGTCAGATGTCTGAAGTGGAGGATGAAGATGAAGTGATGCAGTGTTTATATTCTGATACACACACAACTACTGGACAATGATGAGGAGTGGACATTACTGATTGATTACAGTGAGCGATAATAGACACATGATCGAACACTAAATGATCGAACACTAAATAATGATTTTTGATCAGCTCACAAATCTTCCATCAAGAAAAAAAATGCTAATAATGATGAATATTACAGAATATCTCCAATCAGAATGACCAGCTCTGACCAATCAGTATCAGTCTTGTAATAAAAGTTGATAATAACTTTAACTGGTAAGATCTAAGAGATCAACCTGCTCAGCTCTGTACAAAATATATAGCCACTGGCAAGAATATTCAACACTACTACTACTTATAAGTTATAACAGAGTGTTTAACAGGTGAAACGCACACCGAGAGAAACACACACACTGCTTTACTAGAGGATCTTTACACTCGCACTCATTGGTTCTTTGTGTTGTTGTTGTTCCTGCAGTGTGGATAGAGATGATCAGACTGGAGACCTGCAGCAGGATTCACTCCAACCAGAACATGATGAACTTCAGAGAGTCAAAGAGCAGCACAAAACTAGCATGAAGAACAAGTATGAGAGATTATTTGAGGGAATCAACCATGGAGAGACTCAAACCCTCCTGAACAGGATCTACACACAGCTCTACATCATAGAAGGAGAGAGTGAAGGAGTGAATGAAGAACATGAGGTTTTACAGATGGAGAAAAGAGCCAGAACAAAACCCTCACAACACACTCCAGTCTACTGCAATGACATCTTTAAAGCCTCAGCTGGAGCAGGACATGAGGAGAAGATCAAGAAGGAGAAAGCCCAGATCAAGACTGTTCTCACTAAAGGCATCGCTGGGATCGGGAAAACCGTCTCTGTGCAGAAGTTCATTCTGGACTGGGCCGAGGGAAAAGACCATCAGGATGTAGATTTCATGTTTGTGCTTCCATTTCGAGAGCTGAACTTGATCAGAGATCATCAGTACAGTCTTCACAGACTTCTGCTGGACTTTCATCCTGAACTTGAAGATCTGGAGCCCAAGATTTATGAGCAGTGTAGAGTTGTGTTCATCTTTGATGGTCTGGATGAAAGCAGAATCACGCTGAACTTTTCAGATGAGGAGAAAGTTTGTGCTGTGACTGAATCTTCATCAGTGGCTGTGTTGATGTGGAGCCTCCTGAAAGGAGATCTGCTTCCCTCTGCTCTCATCTGGATCACCTCCAGACCAGCAGCAGCCCATCAGATCCCCTCTAGATACATCAAGCGTCTGACAGAGATTCAGGGATTCACTGAGCCTCAGAAGGAGGAATATTTCAGGAAGAGAATCAGCGACGAGCATCAAGCCAGCAGAATCATCTCCCACATCAGAAGAGCAAGAAGCCTCCAGATCATGTGCCACATACCCGTCTTCTGCTGGATCTCCTCCACTGTGCTTCAGAAGCTCCTGGAAGAAGATGTGAGTGCAGAAATCCCTCAAACTCTGACTGAGATGTACATCCACTTCCTGCTGATTCAGATCAACATGAGGAAGCAGAAGTATGAAGAGAGAGATCCAGAGAAGCTCCTGCAGTCCAACAGAGAAGTGATCCTCAAACTTGCTGAAGTGGCTTTCAGACAGCTGATGAAGGGCAATGTGATGTTCTATGAGGAGGACCTGATTGAGAGCGGCATAGACGTCACTGACGCCTCGGTGTATTCTGGGATCTGCACTGAGATCTTCAAGGAGGAATCTGTGATTCATCAGAGGAAAGTCTACAGCTTCATCCATCTCAGCTTTCAGGAGTTTCTGGCTGCTTTCTTTGTGTTTTACTGCCATTTAACAGAGAAGAGAGAACCGCTGAGGGTGATTTATGACAGTGAATATTCATATAATCAATATCTACAGTCCAGCTCTGAGAAGTCTCTGTATGTTCTGCTCAGATCAGCAGTAGATAAAGCTGTAGAGAGTAGTAATGGTCATCTGGATCTGTTCCTGCGGTTCCTGCTGGGCGTCTCACTGGAGTCCAATCAGAGACTCTTCCAGGATCTGCTGACACACACAGAGGAGAGCTCAGAGAACATCAGGGAAATCTCACAGTACATTAAAGACGAGATCAAGGAAGATGAACATCTCTCAGCTGAAAGATCCATCAATCTGTTCCTCTGTCTGCTGGAGGTGAAAGATCAGACTCTGGCCAGAGAGATTCAGGAGTTTGTGAAATCAGACAAACACTCAGAGAAGAGACTCTCTCCTGCTCACTGCTCAACAATCTCCTACATGATTGAGATGTCAGAGGAGCCGCTGGATGAGTTAGACTCTAATAAATTCAACACATCAGATGAGGGAAGACGGAGACTGACAGCAGCTGTGAGAAACTGCAGAAGAGCTCTGTGAGTATTCATTGATTGATCACAGAAGACACACATCAGTCTGCACTGAAGACTCAGATCAGTTTAGTGAATCACTGCCCTGCTTTAACAGAAAATCTTTAACTGGCCATATCGTCCCCCTGTGAGATCGCTGATACACCATGTTACTGCATGGGGACGCGGCGGCAGTGTTCTGTTTCCTTATTTGCTCATTTATTTCATCATTTCTAAACGTATTGAACAAACTTTTCTTGACTTTTTACTCACACAAACAACATTTGTACTTATTTAATAATCTACTTCATTTACTTTACAGTTTATCCTGGAAAATAACTCAAATCCCTGTAAATCCCTGTGCTCCTCCAGCTGAATAGGACATTTGTTAATGTGTATTTGCTCAAATCTAACACAGTGTTGCTCTTGGATAATTGTGTTTGTTTTCTGATCAGAGAAATAGTGTAATTTTAGACACAGTATTGCCGTCTCGCCGCAGACATGCCTCTAATATTACATTTACTGTAGGCCTAAACACTAAACTTTACACTGAGCTCAGTAAAATGCTCTCTGATTGGTTATTAATAATCTGTTTAATAATTCAGTACAGTCATATGAATGGGGAAATACAGGTTTAGTTTAATGTAGATTCAATCAATAAAAAAAAAAAAGATATTTCTAAATGAATTAAACAGGCTTGTTCTGAGGCATGAGGGTGGTATGAGGGCCCAATGTCCACAGGTGGGGGTTGCAGCACAACACCATGGTACAACACCATGAGGTAGCCTGACTGCCATTAGGTACTGAGATGAGATCCTCAGACCCTTGTGAGACCATATACTGGTGTGGTTGACCCTGGATTCCTCCTAATGCAAGACAATGCTGGACCTCATGTGTCTGGAGTGTGTCAGTAATTCCTGCAGTTCACTACAGCTTTGAGTGTGACTCCAAATCCAGTCCTCCATGGGTTAATACATTTGATTTCCAGTGATCATGTCTGTGTGATTTAGTTGTCAGCACATTCAACTGTGTAAAGAGCAAAGTATTTAATAAGAATATTTCAGTCATTCAGATCTAGGATGTGTTATTTTAGTGTTCCCTTTATTGTTTGAGCAGTATATATATATAGTTTATTTCCAGTGTTGCTTTTATCACTGTAGACTGAACTCATGAACACTCAACACTGCTCATTTCTCACTGCTGATTTTGTTGCTCTTTGTCCTCTACACAGACTACAGGGCTGTGAACTCACTGTTCAGTGCTGTGAGAGTTTGTCTTCAGCTCTACAATCCTCAAACTGTGTGCTGAGAGAGCTGGACCTGAGTAACAATGACCTGCAGAATTCAGGAGTGAAGCTTCTCTCTGATGGACTGAAGAGTCAACACTGTAAACTGGACACACTGAGGTAAATGATTCTCCACTCTACAACATTAAAAGTGTTTTGATTGAGATGGAAATGTCCAGATATATTTAAGAGCATTAGTGGAGAAACTGCAAAATGCTGCTTCTCAAATGAAAGTTGCTCTTTTTCTTAATCAGTTCAGGAAATCAGTGTATTTTAATGATAATTTTAATTAATTACCTCTAAATCTTTATTTATATTTTATATTTTAATGATTATATTTATAGTTTATCTGTGAATTGGTTTATTGGAAAGATATATTTAGGAATTTGTCAGATGTTTTGGTCATTCTGACAAAAAAAAAAAAATAAATTAAACGAGAAGCAATGTGGATGAGGTCTGAGGAGGTTTCTGGACCCGGCAGCTGGTTTGACAGGCTCTGCTCATTTGCATTTTGCAGGTTCATAAATATATAAAGTCTCGTGGTCCTCTTATCTAAACTAAAATTTTGCATTTATTTACATTAAACATGTTCAGGAATATATTAGATGACATTTAATATTCAGTTTTATTAAATAACAATAGTCAATAATTCTAATTGACACAAACTCCAATAGTTTTGTCATATTATTAACCTCATAGTTTGATTTTACATCAGATGAATGACTGAAATCACACTGTTAATGTAATCTGTGTTCTTCTTTCTTAGATTGGTCATGTGTAATCTCACTGTTCAGTGCTGTGAGAGTTTGTCTTCACCTCTACAATCCTCAAACTGTGTGCTGAGAGAGCTGGACCTGAGTAACAATGACCTGCAGGATTCAGGAGTGAAGAAGCTCTCTGATGGACTGAAGAGTCAACACTGTAAACTGGAGACACTGAGGTCTGAGTTCAAACACCTGATTGATTGATTGATTGATTGATTGATTGATTGATTGATTGATTGATTGATTGATTTTTTTTGTTTTGTTTTGTTACATCAGACAGATCACATTAACAGTGTGGTTTTTAGTAATGTGTGTTCTTCTTTCTCAGATTGGTCATGTGTAATCTCACTGTTCAGTGCTGTGAGAGTTTGTCTTCAGCTCTACAATCCTCAAACTGTGTGCTGAGAGAGCTGGACCTGAGTAACAATGACCTGCAGGATTCAGGAGTGAAGCTTCTCTCTGATGGACTGAAGAGTCAACACTGTAAACTGGACACACTGAGGTAAATGATTCTCCACTCTACAATAACTACAGTCAGACAGTTTCATATTAGAGCTCTTCATGCTTGAACATGTTAACCCTGGGTGATACTAAACCCCAGATTACAGGAATTCTGGTTTATCAGTAATTGTGTTTCACACTGCTCATACTATACCTGTAGTTAACCCTCAGGGGTCTGAGGTGATTTTGGGACCCCTGAGATGTTTTGACATGCCCTGACATCTGTTTTGTAGAAATAAATATTATGTGTGGTTAGTAGGTTTTAGAGAAACAAATGTAGCTGAAATAAGATCCATAAACCAGACTGAATGTGCCTGAACAAGAGTTTAGAGTAAGCAGTCTTGTAGACTAGAATATTTACTGCACAATTATGTGAAATTATTCTGTTCTCTCATTCAGAGAAAACATTACAATGATCTACATTTTGTTAAGTGTGTTTTGGGTGATCTCAGCTGTATGTGTGAGTGACAATGCTCATGAATAATTCACACCTGAGAGACAACAGACACTCCCCCACTCACCCATCAAGGGCAGTGTACAGCAATGTCCATCTGCAGAAGCTAGCCCAAACTCAATGCTTGTTGTGTTACTGCTGTGTGACCATGTAAACACTCTGGGTGAACAATATACAGTGCTCAGCATATATAAGTACACCCCTCACTAATCTCTCTTTTACATTCATAGTTTAATAGGAAGCTCTACAGTATTATATTTGTGCATATACAATAGATTAGCCAAATCTGGAGCTCATCTAACAAAATAACTCATGATAACAGTCCAAAAACTACTACAGACAAATGTATGTGTTATAGAAAAATATTAAATACAAAATTAAACAGAGGAAAAATTAAGAGAAGCAAAACAATGGAAAATTTAGCTGGAATTTTTGGATTTTGCAATATTCTTTTTTTGCAGTATTTAGCTTAAGTTTAATTGTATTATCTTTCTATTTCTGAATATGTTTGGTGACTAAAATATGATGTTCATAAATAAATCTGTTAAATAAATGTGTTCTGTTTAAATGCAGCAGAATACACTGCCTATATTGACTGAGAAATGGAGGAAAGTCTTGGTTTTCAGAATGGGCTGTCCTCCATTATGCTGAGCGCTGTATGTCTCCTACCACTGCTATGCTGATGACACCCAGCTATACCTCTCTTTTCATCCTGATGATCCCTCGGTTCCAGCTCGTATCTCAGCCTGCCTGTTGGATATTTCACACTGGATGAAAGATCATCATCTTCAGCTGAACCTCGCAAAAACGGAAATGCTTGTAGTTTCTGCCAACCCGACTCTACACCATAACTTTTCAATCCAGATGGATGGGGCAACCATTACTGCATCCAAAATGGTGAAAAGCCTTGGAGTAACGATTGATGACCAACTAAACTTCTCTGACCACATTTCTAGAACTGCTCGATCGTGCAGATTTGCACTCTATAACATCAGAAAGATCCGACCCTTCTTATCTGAACATGCAGCTCAACTCCTTGTTCAAGCTCTTGTTCTCTCCAAACTGGATTACTGCAACTCTCTACTAGCTGGGCTTCCAGCTAACTCTATCAAGCCTCTTCAACTGCTCCAGAATGCAGCAGCACGAGTGGTCTTCAATGAACCTAAACGAGCACATGTCACTCCACTGCTAGTCCGTTTGCACTGGCTGCCAGTTGCTGCTCGCATCAAATTCAAAACTCTGATGTTTGCCTACAAAGTGACTTCTGGCCTAGCACCTTCTTATCTGCACTCACTTCTGCAGATCTATGTGCCCTCCAGAAACTTGCGTTCTGTGAATGAACGTCGCCTCGTGGTTCCATCCCAAAGAGGGAAAAAATCACTTTCGCGAACGCTCACGCTCAATCTGCCCAGTTGGTGGAATGAACTCCCTAACTGCATCAGAACAGCAGAGTCACTCGCTATTTTCAAGAAACGACTAAAAACTCAACTATTTAGTCTCCACTTCACTTCCTAAGCTGCAATTGCCTCTTTGAATATCACACTAATTGTACAAAAAAAAAAAAAAAACTACTAACACTTCCCTTCTTAGACTTTACAGACCTGAAACTTGCCTTTAGTACTTATTCATTGTTGCTCTTGGTTGTGTAAATTGCTTCCTTGTCCTCATTTGTAAGTCGCTTTGGATAAAAGCGTCTGCTAAATGACTAAATGTAAATGTAAATGTAAATGTATGTGACTTATACAGCCGCACATATAACATATATTTGAAATGGTGTAAAACGTGTTCGCCAAACTCTCTTGTGCATTAATCCAGCATTTAATAATCATTTCTGAATGAGTCTGAGACACTGAAGTAGAGGAATGACAAACGCTTTAAACACAAGAATAAATCAGATTTAAACATGAAAAACAATTACTGTAAATCTAAATCATATTTGAAGAGCTTTAATATAGATTTCACTAATAGTTGCAGTCTCAGTTCACTGTTTGAAAACTTTACCAGGTTGTGTCTGTCTGTGGGTGTCG